TATATATATATATATTTACAAAACAAAAAGTAGATTTGTATTTATAATAATATTCATATATATTCTATGTATTTTGTTATTTGTTAATTATATATAAAAAAGCAAAATCAAGATTTTTGTTTTAATAAATTCAAAAACAGCATTTATTTAAAATATAAATAATTTATAACTATTTCTTTATGGCCAGTTTTGATTAATTTAATGTATACTAGTTGAATAAAAGTACAAAAAAAACAGCAACAACAACAAAAACTTTTGAACTGTCACGTGTTATTTATACTTATTTATATTTATATATTATTTGTAAGAAATAATAATTAGCATAAGTTCTTTAGCAAAGATAGAATGCTTCCTGAGAGAAGAGTCAAAATTAATTCTTGTGGCAATCAACACTTTGCCAACCTTGCTGTCAGTAGAGCTGAACTTGTAATGAAACTGGAACATTTCTTTATGATGTGCCATAATTATTGCCATGGCATCGGGCTAAAATGGTATACAGTTGGGTAACTTGCATAATTTTTGGAGGAAACCTCCTTGGAGCAAGCTATGGACCCACAAAGGTAAAACCAAGTTTAGATGTTCACACTTTTCGACATATACCTAAGACATTCACTTGGATTATTAGGAAGCTTTCATAATTAATAAACGTAGTCCTGCAAAAGAAGCTTTTAAAGTTTGAAGCAATATCCACTGCCTTGAAAAAGACCAAATGCCTCAGAAGTCCAGTCTGATCAGTATTGATCATGATATGCTGTCCAATCAGAAGCCATACCTCCACGCCATCCTCTGTGAACCCGGCAGGCTCGACCTCATCACGGTCTTCCACATTCTCACCCTACTCTTGCCCTGACAAAGACATCCTGGCTTGGCTGTCATCGCATTTGCTGTGTGGGTGTCTGTTTGTCAGCGAGTGGTTAACTGCCAGGTTCCTCATGCTTCTCCAATGTGTTTCTTGCAGGAATGGGTAAAAAGGACGATCCAAAGCTGATGCAGGAATGGTTTAAACTGGTCCAGGAGAAGAATGCCTTGGTGCGCTATGAATCGGAGCTGATGATATTGTGAGTAGACGTCCAAGCTTCAGTGTTCATTTCCCAT